TTCCACCAGAAATCATCTGTCAGGTCCTAAAAGGGGGGAGGAGGCTATTGTGGATTTATAAAGTTGATGCTTCTGTTTTCATTTCCTTTCAGGTCTCCCAAGACTAATGGCACAGTATAAAACCTGCCTATGCTCCCTCCTTGCGCCCTCAAGGCACATTCACATCCCAGCGACTCCCCTTCCGCTGGTCCTCAGAGACCCTTAATGGCCTCCCTGCCTCAGTGGCTTCTGATATTCCAAGTAGGATGGGGGTGGGATCCAGGAGAAGCACAGGTGAGAGACTGGGGCATAAGAGGCCCAGCCAAAGCAAAGGAGGTCGTGTCACTCGTCCCTACAACTGGTGGGGTAAGGGAGGCATAGTCTCTCTCCTCCTTCAGGGGAATTTCCTTTAGTGAAGGATTACTGGAAACAAGGGGAAGGAAACATCTGAATGCCCACAGGAAATGCTGGGAATGTTCTGTGTCTCTCAACGGCCACTGTTCTCAGAGGCTGTCTCTAGCAATACACAAGGGAGAGAGGGCAGAAGTCGTCACTGTCCACCACACTCCCTTGTACCTTGTAACCAGGGCTTCTGCTGAGAACTGGAAGGAGGTCTGAAATGCCCACCCTCATCTATGTGGATTCTCTAAATCAGAGTGCAAGTTCATATGCTTTGCATTGCCAGGATACTGAAGCCGGAGGCCTAGGAATCTGATACAGGAGGATGGAAGAAGTTGAAGTTTGAAAGAGATAAGGGTGGGGTAGATACCTGAAGGGAGGATGGAGGGGAGGAAATTGAGGTCCACAAATACAATGCTAAAACCAGAATGTAGTCCATCGTACATTCCCTTCTCTGACTATAAACTCTTGCCGACTCTCACCAAACACGCTCTCCAGCTTCATTTACATCTTCTCTCCTCAGGCCCCAACTGCCCGCCTTTCTCGTACTGCCCATGATTTTTTTTTTTAATTGAAGTATAGTTGACATATAATATTACAATAGTTTCAGGTGTAAAACATAGTGATTCGACAATGCTATATATTATGCAATGCTCACCACTACACCAAATAAGTATAGTTACCATCGGTCACCATACAAAGTCATTATAATATAATTGACAATATTCCCTATGTTGTACTTTTCATCCCCATGACTTATTTATTTTATAACTGGAAGTTTGTACCTCTTAATCCCCTTCATCTATTTTGCCCAGTAGCCATGATTCAAATAGTTTCTCTAATCAAAAGAGGAGATTGCCTGAAAAAGTGTAATCTGAGGAACCACACACAGGAGTGAATGTAAGTAATTAATAATACACCAATATCTTATAGTTAATGTGTAATGCCCAGAGAACATGCAGAATCCAACAGAGTTTCAAAAGTTGCATGAAGTAGTCAAACTACACATCATAAGAAAAAATAATTGTAACTGTGTGGTGATGGATATTAACTAGACTTAGTGTGGTGATCATGTGCAATATATATAAATATCAAATCATTATGTTACACCTGAAACTAATATAATGTTATATTGATATATATTGAGATATATTAATTATATCTCAATTTAAAAAAATTGAACTAAGGGGCGCCTGGGTGGCTCAGTCGTTAAAGCATCTGTCTTCGGCTCAGGTTGTGATCCCAGGGCCCTGGGATCAAGCCCCGCATCGGGCTCCCTGCTCGGCAGGAAGCCTGCTTCTCCCTCTCCCACTCCCCCTGCTTGTGTTCCCTCTCTCGCTGTGTCTCTCTCTGTCAAATAAATAAATAAAATCTTTAAAAAAAATTGAACTAAGATTTCATACTTTTTAACCCAGGAATTTCATTTATGAACAAAGATGTTCATCACAGTGTTAGTTATTATCATCAAAAATATAGCAACACTGAGGAATGGTTACGAAATTATCGTACATCTACCTAATGGAAAATTATGTAGATATTTTTAAAGTTTACTTTCCAGTGGTAATTAAGGGAAAACTAATGTTATAAAATTTAAAGTAAAAATATTTTAAAAAGTAATATATATATCATGATTAAAACCATGCACAGAAAAGAGTGGAAGGAAATATCAAAATCACATCAAAATATTAATAGTGCTTGTCTTTAGTTAGTACAAGTATGGTGATTTTTTTTCCTTTTTATATTTTTATAGTTTCCAAACTGTTCATAATTTTATAACAGAAAGGGGAAGCTTTCAAAAAGGCAAGCTTCTTTGAAAGAGGAAAAATGTTACTTGTGTAGAAAACTCCTGGGTTCAGTTGACAATTAATCCTTTTAATATCAGTACCCAGGAACTATAGCATTTTCTGGAAGGGCATTTGGAACAAGGAATATGGAGAATATGAGCAAGACCAGCCAAAGAGAAACTTGGCCTGCTTAGTAACCTACACCGCTAGTTCCCTATGACTACCAGATGAGGAGCAGATTTCACTGCCTGATATGCAAGGTTCTTCACAATTTGTCACTGTGTATTCAAACAGTATATGAGCACTTAGCTGAACCTCCCTGTCTGGCTTGCCTTTTCGTATCCAAATCCTTCCCATCTGGCAGAGTGATTGAATTCACTTCTATCCATGAAGAGTTTACTGATTCTGTTATGAAACCAGCCTCTATGATTTCTCCTTCTTAAGGTGTTGATATAGCATTTATAGCACCACCTTTTCCTGATATTAGGCCAATTCTAATTATTTTGTTAATTACTCATGTGTAAGTAAATACCTACCCAGCTAGACTTTAAGTTCCTTGAAGTCAAGAATTTGAATGGTCTGCAGACAGTAGTCATTCAACAAATACATACATATATACAGAAAGAGAGACAAGAGTGAGAAAAGATGCAGTGCTCAAACCAGGTTGGTATTATATTCACACTTGGTGATGTTATCTAAATAAAATGTGTTGCCTCTGTTTTAAAATGTTCCCGCTGACCATCACTAGGACATGCACCTTCTTTTTTTTTTTTTAAATAGTAGTGGGATCAAAAATAAGTTTTGCTTATTTTTTCATACCAATTCTGCCATCCTCCTTGTAGTTAAACAGACTGGACTGCAAGATGCTTCACAGAGGTTCAGGATAGAGACTACAGCCATATAAAGAACAAAAAGAAATGACCTCCTAGATATCAAATTTAAGAGTCATCACGTGATCCTACTTCTCTTACAGTCTTGTGTGAAAAACATATATAAATTTGTGCCTCCATTTTATGGCTTTATTTAGGCAATGGGCTTTAGTCTCTCAATATCCTCATTAATAATTCTCCAATGTAAATAGTTCAATACTTTAGAAATGACAGACTAAGATGATTATGTTCCTATCCGCCATCAAGTACTATTCCAGTACTTAGAGATAATGAGCATTTGTATTATAGCAACCTGCCTCTGGAGACATCACCAAGAGTTTCACATCTTAAGGGAGAATACATAAATCATAAAGGAAGGCAAATCAAATGGCCAAGCAACAGATAAAGAAAAACCTAGCATCCGTTATTTTTTCAGAAAGAGTACACAGGTCAATATAATTGTTAACTCTGAAGGGCAGAGCAAAAACAAATCAATGCAGTTTCCCACTATACAGAACTACGTTTTGCTACAACACACATATTTTTTGTAAGTCAATGCTTGTCTAGATTCCACTACTTACTAGCCATATGATCTTGAACCTTCTATTTCAGTTCCTTAGTCTGTAAAATGGAGTTATCACCTACTATGCCACATCACAGTGGAAATGAATCAAACAATATTATCAGTCTGAGTTTATCTGTCACCCTATCTTGGGACAACACATCCCACAAAAACAGTTCAGTCACACACCCCATGAACTAGATAACTGTTCTTATTGCAAATGTTTCCATTAAGTTTTAAAAAAGAAAAAGATTTCCAGGTGTTTTGTTTTGTTTTACTTTCCTAATTGATTTTTTCCAACATTTGAGCATCCACCATATATCACTGCCAAAAATGTGTTAAACATCTCCTGCAATGACCTAACTCTCCTTTGCAGTGTTGTCCAGATATTTTTTGGCAAACGCTTTCTAAGAAAATGGGTTTTTTTCCACATAATTCAAAGCCCTTTCTTACTAAAAGAACAATGATTCCATATACAGTAAGTTTACAGGTTGTTGCTATTGTTTGAGATCACTCTTATGAAAATTAAGTTTAATATCTAATGGGCCATCTATATGTACCCTTACACTTGGACACACAACTCTGTAATACAGTGGAAGATCCATGGGCTTTGGAGTCAGGGAGACTTGTATTCAAATTCCTGTTCTGTGACCTTGAACATGTAATTTAACTTCCAGGCTCCTCACTTTCCACCTTTGGTTCTGGGTTGCTGTGATGATTTAATGAAATAATATATCTAAAAGTTAGTGTCTAAACTCTGAAAGTATTATTTCCTACCTCCCTTAAATCTTTTTCTCCTATGCCAAGACCAAGCAAACCCACTCTGAACACGAGACAACTTGGACACAGCCTCTATTTCACACATTAGTGGGGGAATGCTATGCGATGAAAAACTGAGTGGACGATGGCTTGAATTAGGTATCCAACGGAGCAAGAAGTAAAGAAAACTGACAGGTATAGACAAGGGCCCCATACTTCACTCACACGTGGGAAAAAGACACTAATCTGACACACTTTAAAGATTGCACCGCACACTCACAGAGGTTTGTACCATGCTCTGGGAAAAGGACGGAATTACGGAACAAGCCAGCAGAGAGCCTCCTTGTTCACCCCACCCGACACCGCCCGCCCGGGTGATACCTCTGAAGCCTAGAAACTGAGGTGAGAGCACAGCAACTGACCTCGTCCCACCCACCCCCCACCCACCCTCCCCCATTCCGCCCAAATCTCTCTCGGGGCACGAATGGTGCTGAATCATTAGTCCTAACAGTAGCAGCTCCCGGTTCCGCTGCTCCCCGCGGGAGCCAGTGTCCCTAGAGCAATGACCGTCCCTGGTGGGGGCCGATACGTCGGGGGTGTGGGGGCGGTGAAAGGGGGTCGGGAAGGATCCGGGCAGCAGGTACTCACCGGGGTGAGGAAAGCCCAGCCCTGGTCTCCTCCTGGCTGCAGGCGGTCCCTCTGCGGCCCCTCCGCTTCCCGGTTTCCCGCGGGCGGTTGCCCCCGGGCCCGGCTGCCCGCGCTGGTGGTCCGGTGCTCCCCTCCGCCCGCCCGCCGCCCTAAGCAGCCACGGCTCGGGGCTCGGGCGCTCCACCCGGAGCAGCTGGAGCAGCTGTCGCTGCCGAATGGGGTGGCGGCTGCCGACGGGCCAGACCATTCGCGGGCTGCGACCGGGGGTGCGCGACGTGCGGAGCGGGGCGGTCGTGGAGGGCGCCGAGGGCCGGCGACGGTTGGGAGGAACCAAGAACGAGGGGAATCCTCCGCCTCCCAGCAGCGCCGGGAGGGCTTGGGGGCAAAAGGGACCAAGAGGGGAGCAGCTGCTCTCCCTGGCTGTTGACTGAACACAATCCCTAAGCTTTTCCGGGCACCCCCCTCCGGGTCGGCCTTGGTTACGCTCGGGGCTCCTTTAGAACGCGGCAAACAGAGGACCTAGCAACGGGTGCGCCTGGGCGGTGTCCCCTCCTGGGGAGATGCGAAGGGGCGCTGGCCGGAGCCCTGCCTTCAAGCCACCTCCTCCTGCTCCACAGTGGGGCCCTATGGCGCCAGTTTCTGGTGCATATCCTACTTTAGACGTCTTACCACAAAATAGAGAGGGGCATCTGAGTCCTTGAAGGGGCTCCTCAGATCTTTTACCCAAGCATCATTGTGGAGCAAGAATTAAAAAGGTATCTAAGCCCAGCCTGAAAGTTAGAAAATAAAATTAAGTGGGCCCCCATCCTATAGGTGCTTTGTAGCTACAGGAAAATAAGGGACACTTTTGAATCACAGAGTTATTGCTCCCCAAATGTTGAACCACTGCAGTTGGAAAATGTATACATTTAGGAAACCCTTTGAACAGTTCTATAAAAGATTATTAAAGATATTCAAAAATATTTCAGGTTCACTGTCTACCATTTTAAAGATTAGTGTCTTGGGAGTGGGGAGGAAATAATATCCTTACATGAAATTAACTTTTATAGAACTGGAAAGAGAAGTTCCCACCATGACATCCCTTACTAAACTTTTGTGAAAGCTACTTGTGTGGTCCCTGCTCCTTTCACAGCCAGGCTTAAGCAGGTTCATTTCAGACCATGGTGAAGATGGAGACAAATGTAAAGTTTTCCTTATAGAAAGAAAAAAAAAAGAACAGTTGACAACTACCTTTAAAATATAATTTAAGGGAGCAAAAGAAAAAAAGAAAAAACCTCCAAATACCTCAGTTAAAAGCCCTTCCACCTTAAAGCCATTCACTCTGAATTAAGGTTTTGTCCTTTTTTGAGTTAACATAATTTTTTAACATATTGAGCACCTACTATGGACTGCACTGAGAGTGTTTCCAGTTTCATTCCTTCATTTGTCTTAGAAACTCCTGTAAAATTGATGATATCTTTGCTATTTTTAAAATAGACTGGGCTCAGAAAGTTTGTTGTGCTGGGTTCACATCTCATAGTTAATGAGTGGCAGAACAAGCATTGCAATCTGGAGTTATTGACTAGTGCCCTTCCACTAGAATGCTCCAGGAAACATACACAATGCTTTCTTGTAGACAAGATTGGCCCTTGAATGTGAGCTTATTTATCCTTCCTTTGTGAAATCTAGGTTTCGTGGTGGAGAAAGGGATATTTAAATATCTAAGGTGGATGTCGCCCTGGGGTTAGAAGTAGGGATCTGAAAGAGGAGGCTGTATTCACCCAGAATTAACCTGGAAACATCAATTTAAAAAAAAAAAATGCATGGTTAGCATCACATGAAGGTGAGGAGGAATTCTCCACTACCTTTTGTTAATCATTTTTACATCATCATTTACACTATATTGTGCTTTATACTACCCTTAAACTATTATTCTATATTACACTTTGCACTATTATTCTTCCCAGAAAGGAGCAAGAGTTTTTAAATGGACTTAATGTCATGGGTCTTCATATACTTTACCAGAATTTAAAGTAACAAGGCATTAGTAACTCTCATAGCATGTTAAGGAAACTTTTTGAGAAATAAGGAATAAAACTAAATGGTTACCCATGTTGTGCCATTGTTATTATGTTAACTGTTATTGTAAATGTTCACACCTCAGTACCAGCAAAAGAGAACTCCCCAGAGCTCCATGTTGCAGAGGAGCTGGGGTACTAGATCCCTAGTGAGGCCAGGCAGCTGTGACTCAGGGCTGGGATGTCCTCAGCCTCGGAAATGTGTGATTCTTCTCTCCCCATGCAGTTGTTTCACTTTCCAAGGACACAAAAAAGGAAGAGACTTGGAGTAAACAAGATGCCTTTTGAATTAGTATTCTCTCTCTGATTGACAGGGCTATAAGAAGGAAGGATAAGGTCTCGGGTGGTTTATCTGAGACCAAATTGGGATTTAGAACCCGGTTACCAGTGACATCTCCTGTCATCTGTTTGTATAAGTTGAGCTTCTTGGAGGGTATGTTTCTGAATGAAGGAGGAAGGGGACATTTTTGCCGGTGACCTTGAGAAATTGTCAAAAGGAAGGATGGGAATTAGTGTGATGCCTGCATTCCCTCCTCTCCCATAGAGTCTTCAAATGCTTTTGAATCCATTGAGGAAAGAAGTTAGGGCCAGAAACTGAGGAATTACTTTCACAAATGACTTTGTGGGATTTCAGGTATAAGAAGTACAATTTTGGACCCTAGTGACCCAGAGCTAGGGGAGAGGGCCATTCTCTCACCCAGTCTGCCATCAACCTTCGTGCAACCTTGCCACCAATAAAGAAGGACTCTGCCAGTAGAAGGGCATTGGCAGCCAATACACAGTCAAGATAACTTGACTAGGAGCCCAGAGCAGTAGAGCATTAGTGGAATTGCTCCTGAGCACCTGGGAGACCCAGCTGAGGATTTCCTGTCATAAATGAGGGACGTTGGGTGGGGGAAGGTGATTGTTAAACTTAGATTATTAAACTTTATTTAGGCTGCAGTATTAAGGTGGATTTATTTGTATTCACAAAACCAGCATGACCTGAGGACATTCAAATAATATTACTTTTAAAATGACATGAATAAGAGAGCTAGAGAGAAAGAAAATAGGTAATGCCTTTGATAAAATTGCAGAGTGAGCCACACCATGTTCAACTTTGATTCAAGAGTATTAAATACCTGGGGCGCCTGGTTGGCTCAGTCAGGTAAGCCTCCGACTCTTGATTTTGGCTCAGGTCATGATCTCAGGGTCATGAGTTCAAGCCCTGCGTTCAGTACACATATGTACTGAAATCAATAAAGTGTACTTCTCACTGTGGGTTACTGTTTAAAAAAAAAAGAAAGAATATTAAGTACCTACTATGTATTGGCCTATTATGTATCGGCCACATACTAAGGCATGTGGTGACATTGACATCCCAAGGTACTCTTGTGGAGAATATTTAATAGTGTTATTTCTGTTTGCTTTTAGCTATCACTTTTTTTAATCATAGTATTTCTGAGGTAAGTACTATTATTATGTGAAGTATTATTTTCATCCTCATTTTATAGGTGAAGAAACTGAGAATTACAACGATTAATATGTCAAAGGTAATACAGCCAGAAAGTGGCCAAGCTGGGTTTCAAACCCAAACCAACACATGACATTACTTTCCACATACCTTTACTGCCACCTGCTACACAGAAAGCAAGTTGTACATCACATTTTTCGCTACAGTAGAAAATCTATTTTGTATCTGTTTTTTAAAACCTATTTTCAACTCTCACGCCTAAAAGGAAATGAGTCATTTCTCAAAGAGGATTTAAATGAGAGTCCTCCCAATGGAAACGTTGTGCATCCTTTTCTAGGTTTCTGTGCTCAGAAAAGAAACCCTGAAACAAGAAGTGATCATTGCAGCATAGAGTTGGCCAGTGATTTCTAAATTCTTGCTATAGGTTCTGATTCTAGGAACTCTTGGGTGAGACCTTAGATTCTATATTCTTACTAAGCACTATAAGTGATTCTGATGCACAACCATTTGACCAGTTTGACCACACCACTCAGGGTGAGCGCAGTGTGGGGCTCGCAAACATCCAGTCTCCTAGACTTAACCCTTTAACCCCATCACTTGTTGAAAAGGAAATGGGAGACTAGTATTCACATTTATTATACAGAGATATATTTATTAAATTGTTACTGCCTTTTTCAGTATTCTTTTGATCATTTTGAAGAGTCTTCAGAAATCCTCAAGTTAAAGATTATACTCATTCACAATTACTATTGTATGTGGATACTTGGAACTTAAGGCTCTTTTCAATTATTACATGACATTTTATATAAGAGAAAAAGGAGACTAATTAGAACAGCATTAAATTTATGTATTAACTTTCGGAGAATTAACATGCTGATAACAGTAAGTCATTCCATCCAACATAATAGACTTCTTCATTTGTTTCCATTTTATCTTGCATTTCCCAAGAATATTTTTATAATTTTTTCATATATGTTCTGCACTTTTCTTACCAAATTATTTTTTTGGCATTTGTCTTCCAAATGAAATATTCTTCCCATTTCCTTTTCTATGAGATTTTGCTTGAATAGAGAGAGATGGGTTATTTCTGTAAGTTATTTTTTATTAATCCAACACAGCAAATTCTCTTATTGTTTTTTCATGAGAATATCTTGGGTTTTCTGACAAAACAGGCATATCATCAGCATCTGGAACTTTATCTCTTTTTCTGTTATTTATACCTGTTATTTTATTTACATTTGCTAGAATCACCAATAGAAGTGATTATAGTGATGCCTGTCTCATTCCTGATTTTAAGTGAAATATTTAATTTTTGCCATTTAAGATTTGTTATTGGGCTTTTTTTAAATCACATAATAATTTCTTTCTGTTCCTGTTTTGCTTCAAGTTTCCCTTGGCATTGGTTGCTTGACCTTTATCTAATGTCTTTTCACTACGTATTGATAATGGTTGGGTTTTTCCCCTTTAATTTTTAATGTAATCAATATGTAGATAGACTTCCTGGAATTGAACTGTCTTTTCACTCCTCTACTGAAGGCTGTTTTGTCATAGTAGATTAGTCTTTTGGTTCCTCTATTATAGTCTCTAATATATTATTTAAACACGTGGCTTTTATAGTCAG